CTCCACAAACAGTCTGGCAAACTCATTAAAGTTGCTTATAGTGCCCCCCGGCATAGAGTATAACCATGTTCGATGTTTCTTAAGAGTAGTCAGGAACGTCTGACACAGAAGTGCATCAGAGGCACGTTGAATGTGCATGATGATTCGATAATGATCACAATATTCATAGGGGTTGGTTATCCCTTCATAGGCATCGATGTTTGGAAACTTGAAACCTATTGGTATGGAGTGTTGGAGGACTGCATCCGCTAAGGGGGAGGATTCATGGATTTTATGGTAAGTGAGAAAACGATTCTTTTTCTCGAGGGGGAACTCTTCTTAGACGAGGCGTCGTAGTTCGTTATGAATGACATCATCTAGAATGACAGCAAGATGTGACGGTGCCAAATGAGCTGCATGAGATGGATCAGTGGAACTTGCGATGTCTAGGAATTCAACATCACGACCTGGCAAGGGAAGTATTCTTTCTTGGGGAGGGGGGTCGATAAGAGTTCCTCCGAGCAGTATGTTTCTTATAGGTTGCGGATTTAATGGTAAATGAATTTAATTCATCAGTGTGGACAACGGTTGTTTCGAGGGGGAACTCTTCTTATAGACGAGGCGTCGTAGTTCGTTATGAATGACATCATCTAGAATGACAGCAAGATGTGACGGTGCCAAATGAGCTGCATGAGATGGATCAGTGGAACTTGCGATGTCTAGGAATTCAACATCACGACCTGGCAAGGGAAGTATTCCTTCTTGGGGAGGGGGGTCGATAAGAGTTCCTCCGAGCAGTATGTTTCTTATAGGTTGCGGATTTAATGGTAAATGAATTTAATTCATCAGTGTGGACAACGGTTGTTGAGTCCCATGTAGAAGTTGTAGGATCTCCATTTGATATTCCTCCTTTTTGCGCTTCCATAGAAAGACCTGAAACGGCCTCGTTGGCGGGATAACTTTATTTAGGGTGGGAAGATGAAGAAGCATGCCGCCCTTGACTTCTTGACTGTTCCCCAGAATGATGAGTGTTAGAGCGAGTTGTTTCATTGTCCCGAATAGTGTCTGGTGGTCATGTAGCAAATTGAGTAAATACTTCAGTGATGAGATTATGAAGTTTCCACAGACGACGCCAAGCTGATGCGTGCTAGAAAATTTGCGGCGGTAGAGTAACGGATTATTTTCTTCGCGTTGTACGAGAATTCAGCACATACATAGATAAAAGAGAAACAAGTAGTGACGACTCTGGAAGTTCTTACGTGGAAAAGGAAAAAATCACAGGGCATGACCCATTTGCAAAAATTCACTATTGTTTGATGATTACAGAAATCTCTTGTCCCACAAACGGAAAATGGTAACTATATTTTTCAGATTACCGTGTATACTGACGACATCTGATTGGTGGTGATTGATGATGATTGGTGGTGATCGATGGTGGTTAGCGATGGTCGACGACGGTTGGCGGAGGTCAAAGAAGGTCGAAGGTGGTCGACGACGGTTGAAGGAGTTCCTCAGAGGTCGGCGGTGGTCGACGACAACAGACAGTGGTTGATAGAAGTCAGCGACGCTCAATGGCGACAGATGATGGTTGACGGAGGTCGGCGGAGGTCGACGGCGATGGACAGTTGTCGACGGCGATTGGAGATGGTTGACAGTTGTCGGCAGTGGTCGAAGACGGTTGACAATGGTCAACTGATGTCGATAATAGTCGACGACGATCAACGGTGGTCGATGGAGGCCAGCGATGATCGACGGTGGGCGGCGGTGATGCTGAGCTGTAGCTCCTCCTCAAGGTATCATATCAGATTCTCTCTAAGTTTTAATTCACACTCATGAGAGGCGTGAGACTCTATTTATAGTGTTCTGGGTGTAATTAATCTAAGAATAGAAATTATTTTGATTGAACGGTCTGGATAACTTCCTTCAATCATACGGTGTTTAATGGACATTTGGATGTCTTAATGATGTCAAAATTAAGTGATTTTGAGCTCGTTGGATTTGTCTTATTATGACGCTCGATTCGATTATGAACTTGTCATATTTGACATTTATTTGACTTTCCAAATGTATCCGAAAATCTTTCAAACACGGTTCAATGATTTGATTCGAACTTATTTGACTCGGATTGGACTAACTTTGATGTCATTTGGTTCTTCTCATCGACCCGGTTAGTCTGACTTTAAGTTTGCTAAAATCGGAGTTCTGAGTGATTTTTTATCAAAATTTGAACATCTTTTGTTCAAAATATTATCTCGAGATTTGTGACATGTTTGGAGTTTCGTGCTGAATTATGAAAATTTATCGGTGGTCTATCTAGAATTATATTAGATTATTCTTTATTAAGCACAAAAATATAAGTTTCAAAAACAAGGTATGATAGTGAAGAAAAGGAAACTTTACATGAGAGTAATATACTAATTAATCAAAATAATTATGTTTTCTCTTCTATGTTTTAAATGAATCATTCTTCAATCATATCTACTTATAACATGAGGCTACCAATTAGTAAACTAAATTATAAAACAATTGAACTTTATGAATATATATGTGGTTAGCAACCTCTTGGCATTTACCCACGCCTAACCCAACTCGACACTAGTGTTACCACTATACTTTGTCACCATTAATCAAGTTCGAGCTCGAACTTGAGCTTAGGTCAACTAAGGCTACATTTGGAGTAGTTTATTTGTGCGGGTGGCGTTTCGAAAACGTCGCCCGAACATTTGGTTAGAACGTTCGAGCGCCGTTTTCACAAGGCCGCCTGCTTTTTCTTGTTACCCGCGGACGCGGTATATGGGTTGCGTCCCACTTCTAGCGAATGTGTTTTCCTCCATTTGCCCTTCTGCTTTCGATCCTCTCCTCTGCGCTCGTCTCGTGCAGAAGCCATATCTGTCTTCAATTCTCTTCTCATTTCTCTCGAGTGTGCCTTCTTATCCCCGATCTGTGTTTCTGGTGCTCTGTAAGTAACCTCATCACCTTTGTTTTGGTGATTTTCAACCCGAGGCCTTTTCGGGGGAATCTCTCATCTGCTTTGATGTCAGAATTTTTTTATGCTCTCGTTGAAAGAATGGCTTTCGTGTTGAGGTTGGTGGATTGACTTGGTGAGAATATAAGATGGATATGCGAAGAATTTAGAGGAGATAAACTAATGAATGATTAGTTTCTCTTGATAGCGATAAACTAATGAATGTTTGGCTTCACCTTGATAGATGGAATTTGCCCTTCTAGTGAGAAGATGGATATGCGAAGGAATTAGAGAAGATAAACTAATGAATGATTTGTTTATCTTGATAGTGATAAACTAACGAATTGTTTGGCTTCACCTTGTTAGTGATCTGACCATGCTTGTAAGATGAATTAAGATGGATATGCGATGAAATTAGAGAAGATAAACTAATGAATGATTCGTTTATCTTTACAGTGATAAACTAATGAATTGTTTGGCTTCACCTTGTTAGTGATCTGACCATGCTTGTAAGATGAATTAAGATGGATATGGGATGAAATTAGAGAAGATAAACTAATGAATGATTAGTTTATCTTGATAGTGACAAACTAATAAATTGTTTGGCTTCACCTTCATAGTGATCTGACCATGCTTGTATACCCAACTTCAACTCTCCTACGTGAGATATTGCCCCAACTCCACTTTTCATGGAGTTTTTGTGCCACACTTTTAATTTTGGTGGAGTCTTTTGCAGAGCCAAGCAAACATGGTTTACCTTGAAAGTGAGGTTTCTATGTTATTTTTTTGAACTGATCCATAATGATTTGTGGTTTTTGTTTTATCTATTCTTTTGCCCATACAGTTCTGTTGCAAACAACATCTCTAAACAGGGGTAGAATGGTCATTTATCCAGCAGCAGCGATAAATAAGTTGATCTGAACAAGCTCCCCCTAAGCTCCCCCAAACAACAAGTTAGTTTATCCTGATAATCTACAGATTTATTCAGCAACCAAGCTCCCCCAAACAACAAGTCAGTTTATCCTGATAATCTACAGATTTATTCAGCAACAACTACAAATAAGTTGTTTTGAATCAATCCCCCAAACAACAAACCAATTTATCCTGATTATTTGCAGATCATCAGATTGTCAGGATAATCTACTTATGAACAGATTATAAATAATATGCAGCTGCCCCAAATAGACCATAATTCAAACTAGCTTGTTTATTATGAAAGAGAGAAAATAATATTAATTTAAGCTAGTGATATAATAAAATGGCAAATTGAATGGGTATCTATGAGATAAATAATAATAAATCTTATAACATAAAAAATAAAATATCATTTTTTAATATTTTAAATAATTTAAATATGAAGTCTTTAATTTTTTATATATTTTTGTATATTCATATTAATGTTTTTTTAAGCGAGCCGGCTCACGAGCTAATGATAAGTCGAGGTTGGCTTGAGCTCGATTTGTTAGTTCATCGAGCTTAAGCTCATGAGTCACTTATCGAGCCTAAGCCGGCTCGTGAGTCACACCCCTACTTTAGTCTAAGCATATTGTATTGCACTTTTTATATGATTTGGTGTGTTTGTGTGTGTGTGTGTGTGAGAGAGAGAGCTATACATGATTCACGACTCATGGATTAATAATTTCAACATTTTATGAATTTCTAAATCACAACTTGGGAGGCTTGCTTGATTGATTTCTAATAATTACCCGCATGACCCGGCAAAAAATATCGCCATCAATTACAGACCCTTAAATTATTGTGCTATGAATTTCATTTAAAAGATTAATATCCCTAAGTTCCTTGAAAGACAAAAGGTGGTTAGGATTCCTGGAAATGTTTTTAAAATCTTTATATTGAGATTCAATTTTACTGAAAATAGTGAACCTTTATCTTTAGCTTTTCTATATAATCAAATTCTTATATCTCTTCCAATGACCTCCAACTTTTCCTTTCATTTGGTGTCAAGCAACTGTAGATTCCAAATAATTAAATTTTTTCCCTACCATTTTTTTGTATTTTATCTGTCATTTTGATTTATTTATTTTTTTCTGTATAGAGGTTCGAAGCTTATGACTCAAGGGGCTCTGTTGTGGCTGGTGACAAAAATAAGGAGGTACCACATTGGCGTGTTATCTTTATATTTCCCTCTCTGCTCCATATATTTTATGTCTGATATGATTTGGTTAGGTACGAGCGAAGTTGGCCGCAATTACTGAAATTATTGTTGGTTAATTGATTAAAATTTATTTAGTATGATATTTTCTCCTATATTGTGCCGGCATCATGCTAATCATCTTGTTTTGAAGTACTGTTGAGGTTAGGATTTTGTTGGAAAGACCAGCCTCTTAGCTCTATATAGAAGGACGATTTACATATATACCACTCAATTCCTATGTATTTGCATATCTAACACCTTCACTTTATTTTTTACCAACATACCATTTTACTTATCCATAAAAAAGTGTATTTCACTTTTTAAAAATTAAAATGGTGGTATTTCTTATGTGATGTAAAAGATTTGTGGCATAAATGTAAAAAGGAAAGTATAGATGTTAAATATGTATATACATACCTCTATACAGAATTCATTCTGAGTGCCGATTCTAAATCATTCAAGAGAGCAAGTATTATCAAATGAGTGGTATATACGTAAATGTTACATAAAACTTTCATATTTACATACATAATACTTTGTTGCTTTATTTCTATGCATGAGATGTATTTCACTTTTTAAAAGTAGTAATAGTATTATTTTTATGTGATATTAAGGAGTTGAGTGCAATTTGTGTAAATATGGAAATTTAGGTGCGGATAGGTAAATACACAAGAATTGTATGCTAGGCATGTAAATGCCACTAAAAGATATTTATTGTAGGCATTAGAGTTTATGAATGCAAATCAAGGGTGTGAGGTAGAAAGAAAAAAACACGAAGTACCAAATTTTTAATATTCTAAACTTTCAAATTAAGCAAATCTTGGTCGTCACTTTGAGGTAAAATTAGAAAGCACACTTTTTTTAGCTTCCAGCAATAATATAAAAATTGCCAAAATCTACAATTAAATTAAAAATCCAAGATTGAATATAAAATTTTATGATGACCAAGATTCACAAACTACAAGCAAAATAACCATTCCATCGAACTTAAAATCTCAATTACACAAACAAACTAATTCCTGAATAGTTTAGAAGAGAGAGTAATGATAGAACTTTCTTATTAGATCCAAACCCCATATTGGTACATAGGGACTTATCCCTTTGTATGTTGTCGTTGAAGCACATTTAACAAAACACGTAAGAATTTAAAAGAAACATCCAATTCTCTCTTTAAATGCTCAGGGTTCCTTTTTAAAGTTTGGATTCATCACTTTTGAATTTTAGCAATATTGCTTTATATGTGATTTGTAAAAAGATTTGCGTCGAAATAGTCCCTCCTTTTGGCTATTTTGTGTGACTAATTTAAAATCCTAAAGTATCATATGTTTACAAATTGGTATTAAATTTTAGATCAACTTTGTATAATGAAATTGGAGAAATGTGATAATTGGGTTCTAAATTGGCCACAAAAGTATTAGTCCAGAGATTATCTTGGAGTTAGACCAAATCTAAAACTGTTTATCCATTCACAGGAGTTAAAATCCTTGATAAATTGAAAACAATGAGATCTTATTTGAAGCAATTATAATTCATTAATCACTAGTTTCTTTGTCATTTTATTTTTGTACTTAATTCACTGGATCAAACCTCAAATAATGCTTAAAGACTCCTTTTTTCTTTGTTCTAAAAAAAAAAAATAACCTCAAATAATTTGCACTCATGCAACGAACATTTCATTTATTACATAGCTTCCCAGTTACCTGCAGCTGTGTTCAAAGTTCATGATGTTAGTAAGCTTTATATGGTCTTGATTCTTTTCTTATAAGGTCATTTGCATAAATACCACCAAATTCTTACGAATTTACGCATCTAACGCCTAAACTCTGTTGTCTACATTTATATCACCTAAATTTTTAATACGCATAAAAGAAACTCCATTTTAACTTTTCAACTAAAATACACCTTTTCATGCATGGGTGATGTGGCATGTATGTAAAAATTGAAGTTTAGGTGTTGGATATATAAATACATGGGAATTGAGTAGTTTGTATGTAAATCTTCTTTTCGTATATAATCATTTCTTAATTCAAGTTAATTCACGTCAGGTTCTCGTCCGCGATATCTGGGTTTTCGAATGCTCCCTCTTTCATCCAGGCGCAGATTGGCGGCTCTGTGCACGACTATCTCCATAGTTTGCTCGACTCGATAAATGTACTTTGAAAACATTGAAGGATTATGGTTTGATCAAAGAATGGCTGAAGCAGAACCGACGCGTCGAGAATGAAATACTATTAACTGCAGAGTGATTATGCCATTCTGTTTCTTCACTTTTAAGATTATAAGCTTGTAAAGATGCAGTATGTGCAAAATCTGCAGAGCTTTTCTAAGTATATATTTTTTTCTACTATTTTTTTCTACTAGTTTATGAAATGTCTGTGATGAGTTTTTTATGGCCTTCTTAATTTTTCGCAAGTCTTGACTTTTTTGTGTATGTTTTTTACAACAAAAGTGCATGTCATTTTAAAGTCAATTTAGTTGGACTAGGTGTGCGATTATGAAGAAAGCTCCATATGTATGAATGCTAAAAAAAAAATGAAAAATCAGCTTCTGTGTAGTTAAAGCACGCATGTATGAAACACAATAGATGCCCACGGACGTGCACATACAAACACAAACACTTGGTGCAATGAGATGTGATGGTAAAGCATTGAGTGTCCATGCATATAAATATGAAAATTTTAGGTGTTTGATACGTAAATATATAAGAATTATGTGCTTATGTTTTCAATTTCATTCCTAAAATACGACTAATAAATAAATCTGAATATTTGACCTGTTCATTTATGTATGTTTGTGGACAATGAACTTGCTGACAGCTTCAACAAAATGTTCATCAAATGATTACTCGTTTAGTCTATTTTTTCAAATATATGTTTTATGCACAATTAGTTTTATAACATTAGAGGTATGATATGATGAAAAAGTTGAGCAGATTTGTGATTGAAAGCGAATTAGTGACATGCATATTTCTTATTTTCCTGATGTTCTCTTGCTAGAGCATTACAAACTTGACTCAGTATTCAGAAAATCAATAAAATCATTTTATATGCTCTCTCTATGGTAGAAGTTAATGATACGATGTGTAAGAAAAGTCATGAAAATAATGTCTTGGTGGAAAAATGCAAACAAGCTTCAAATAAATGAAATTTAAAGACACTCCATTAAATAATAAATCCGATAAATCCAGATTTATAAAATACATGTGTTGTTGAATCCAGGACGGTGTTTGGTTCAGTTGAGATTAAAAATCTTAGAGGTGCTTAGCGTTTTATTTCAAGATCTTATAGTAATTGTTTTCTTTTGAAGCTAAATCCGTTAAATCCACCAAAAAGTGGAATTTACATCAAAAAAATGGACGGAATGGAGAGAAAAATGGATTTAATGGAGCGCCAGATTTAGCTTTCTTTTTTTTCATGTTTGGCGAGATTCACGTTAAATCCAGCCATCAATCCTATTAAAAATACGCTACCAAATCCCCCCATAACATGATAGACTTTAGCATGTAAAAATGTGAGTCTTTTGAATGAATTTAACGAGTCAGCCCCATATAGTTCTCTTACTCGTGACAAAATTATTTCTTTAAGAAAATGAGGTAGTTACTTTGAACATTAAATAAATAATTTACTTATCACTTAAAATAACCAAAGGTTAAAAAAATTTCAACCATTGGGCAAAAAAGTCTATTGTGTGGGCAAAATTATTAAATTGCCTAAAGTATATAGAAAAAAACATTACACTATTGAGCATTTATACAAAAATCTCAAATTCCAGTGTGGGTAATTGCTCATCCTAAATCCACCCTAAGCTTAACCTAATTCCACCACTGATTGTATGTGAGTGATGTCTTTGCTGATATTAAGTTAGGTTAAATAATTCATTAGATATTAGTTTAGTTCTCCAAATGCTTACAATTGCTTAATTTAGTTAGACATCTTAGATTAAGTTTTGAGGATCAAGTTATAAAAATATTAATGTAATCAAACCTATACAACTTGGTGGAACTCCATGTTCTTTCTCTAATAGTTTGCATGCTAGGTGCTCATCAGCTTGAGTCAACTTATTTTGAATTTATTCTTTCATATATAGCTTTTCTTCTCAGTTTGATTGGCACAACAAATGTGATTCATGTTTTTGTCTAAACAACATTAATGGGAATTAACAATTAATTAGGTATCATTGATTCTCTTTTCATGAACATGAGCTTGCATATATTTTTATGATTATTTCTTATCTCATGCAATACATATCATGAATCCCCATATCATGACCAATGCATTAAATGATTATTCTATAAATGATATCATGATTAAAGTTCAGAACTTGCATAATCTTTAGCAGTTAAAAATAATAATAATATTTGTATTAGAGAGAATTTAAACCATGTATACCCCATAAAATAAAATAAAAAATCCTTCCCCTTCTAAATGAAAAAGTAGAAACAATAATAGACAAAATAACTTCTAAGAAAACACACCTTCATATAAAATCACATAAATTCATCATCCTCACTCTCATCATCATAGTCTGCATCAGAATCATTTTCTTCATACTCATCTTCTTGTTCCTCCCTCATCTCCAACAAAGATTCCATGCTCAAACATGGCTGAATTTCCATTTCCTCCATTCCAATAGATTCATATTTCATTCGCTCCTCAAACTTAGAATCACTGCAAGCAAGCATCCATGCCAAAGAACACTTCAATCCCTTCTTCGCAATCATCGTATTACGCGGCTTTACCGTCGACTCAATCCCATAAGTGAAGAAGGCAGGAAACTCCACCAACTCGTCCAAATCCCTCTCCATCTCCGTCTGAAAGTACTCAAAGCTCACTCTCATCACATCCAACTCCAAAGCAAGCAATTGTGGGCATCCAACGATCATCTTCCTCATCTTCTCCAAAGAAAATCCACATTTTTTCAGAAAATCAACATGCTTCACTATAACCTTACTGCCAAGCATAACAGCCTGAGGCATTCTCTCGATGATCCTCCCAAACTCGTCGCGGTTTGTGAGCATATTCGACTCAAAAAAGCTTCGTTGATCGAGCAACCTCTCCCTCAACTCAGTCCCCAACAATTCAGGATACTGAGCTATGACTGAGCTCACTGCTACTTCCCTCACACCAAACTCCATGAGAGCTGCCACATTAGGCTTCACTTTCTCCTCCAAGCTGAAACCGAGTATGTGAGGACTATTCTGAACCAGTCTTGCCACAGCCAGCTTAGACAAACCAAGAGACTGAAGATACTCTACAAAAGGTTTGATAATTCTCCCCACCCGCATGCCCAGAACTTGTGGATAGAGAGTAAGAAGTTGTCCAAGTTTCCTCCTTTCCAATCCAATTCCAATCAAATATGCCACAGAAGTGCTCATCGTCCCCTCCAGCTTGAAGCCGAGCAGCTCTGGGTATGTTTCGAGGACTCTGGGAATGTCTGTGAGCTTTATGTCCAATCCATGGAGGTACTTAACGACAGGCATTAGATCAACAACGACGCTGGAGTGAAGAACCTGCGGGTAACGCCGGAGGAAATGGGTGAAGGTGGATTTCCTAACCCCCAATTTGCTGAGGTAGTCGAGAACAGGAATCATGTTCTTCTTTACGCTGCAACCGAGGACTAAAGGATAGTTGTTGATGTCATTAATGGTGAGGCCTAAGGAATGGAGGAAATCAACGCGCTCCTTCATTACCTCGACTGTCACCGGGAGCTCCAGGCCGTCGAGTTCGTCGGGCACAATGCCGATGCTGCGCAGGAACTCGTAGGTTCTGCTTCGGTTCTCAGCTCTCTCCTTCTTCATTTCCAGCAAACTTGGGCGAGAATAGAGGGAAGATGAAGAAGGGGATCTCCGGCCGGGAACTGTGTAGGCGGCCGCCGTCGCAGGAGGAGCGGACATTGAACGGATGCTGTTTCTGGGGGAGAAAGATAAGATTTTGGTTAATGGATTTCGCCGGATTTGGCATCCCAGGGAGTGAATTGGGGATTTGGAGTGAGAGAAGATGAGATGGTTGGGATTGGGTAGTACGATTGGAAGCAGTGCCTTCATGACTGGCTATGCAGAGCTTTGCCAGAAATTCTTCAGTCTACAGGACGAAGTATAATAATCTCCCCCGAAAGTTGAAAACTTTTTTACGACTATGCTGAAATCGAATGAGATCGGAGAGGAACAAGTGCAGAGAAGTTAGCGTAAGGATTGAAATCTGCTTCTTCGCTCGCAACTGGAACGCAAAATCACATCTTTATCTGGAAGGGAAAGATGGAGAGACTGGCTTCCCAGCCCAAACCTCAAACGTTACCCGGACGCTAAAATAGAACGGGTAATTAGGGTTCAAGGGCAATCTACTGTCTCCCTTGTACGGATTATTGGAATATACACTAAGAAAGCTCAAGAGTGAAACAATATACACTAAGAAAACTTAGCGGCATTTGAATCATTTTATTATCTGGCTTTATTGATTTTAAAGATAAGATTTATTTGATGTATTTGTTGATATTATTATGAGAAATTTAATACTTATATCACACAATACATGATCGTGAGAAAATCTAGAAAGTAAACGAACGATCTTAAAATCCTAGAGCTAGAAGTGGCGTTCACTTAAAGAAGTGAAACCTTGATAGTTTAATCTAAATGAAGAGAAAATACACAAAATTGTGGAAGCCATTTGGGTTATTTTTTTTATTTTTTTTATTTCGATCTTTTACTTTTATCTTATTTTGATTATATTTTGATTTGAAACAAAATATGTTTGATGTATACGTACATATCGAAATTTAGATATTAGATACATAAATATATAAGAAATGTGTGGTATGTATGTATGGAATTTTTTCTTATAATAATTAACACTTTTGGGAGGATTATGAGAGGTAGAGACAATATATTTTAAAGTTTCATAATATTTTGCTTAAGACAAATTTTTTTTTTTTTGTGGGAAATACCAAGCACATGTAACTTCGAAACTGCTATCGAACAAACCCGGAGGCATGATGAATCTCCTCCCAAGCTCTGCCTCCGCTCATGAACCACACAGACCAGCAAAAAGTATTCCCTAGCCTTCTTTTCCTCTGTCTCTGCTCCACCTTCTCCTTTTTAGGAAATAGGAATAGCCCTGCACTTCTAAAAACATAAGAGATTAATTGCATATGTATATATATATATATATATATATATTTGTGTGTATATATATATACTTTGCCATTAATGGGTCCTTCTCTGGCTTTTCGTTTCATGTTCTTCGGCCCATCAAAGATTTGTAAAAATATTTATGTTTGATGTGTGCTAGAAAATTCGTGGGGGTAGAGAAATGAATTTTCGTTTTAGTTTTAGCGTTGTACGAGAATTCAACACACACATAGATGAAAGAGAAACAAGTAGTAGTGACACCAAAAGTTTTTATGTGGAAATCCCGTAAAGAGAAAAACCACAGGGTTTGACCCAGTTGCGAAAATCGACTATTGATTGATGATTGCAGAAATCTCTTGTCCCACAGACAGAAAATGATAACTATATTTTTCAGATTACATAGTCAACTGACGGCGTCTGGTTGGTGGTGATTGACAATGATTGCTGGTGATTGATGGTAGTTAGCCGTGGTCAATGACGGTAAGCGGAGGTCAACGGAGGTCGGTGGTTGTCGACGACGGTAGGCTGTGGTCGATGGAGATCGGCGGTGGTCGGCAGTGGTTGACGGAGTTCTGCAATGGTCGACGAAGGTCTGTGGCGGTCAGTAGTGGTTGACGACGGTCGAATGTGATGATAAGTTGTAACTCCTTCTCAAAGTCTCAGGCTCTCTCTAGGCTTCGGCTCCCTCTCATGTGAGAGGTAGATGATTTATTTATAGTGTTTTATATGCAATTAATACAGTAACATGAATCATTTTGATCATATAGTGTAGAGAGCTTTCCTCAATTAGATTACGTTTAAAGGACATTTGGATGCCTTAATAATGTCGTAATTAAGTGATCTTGGGCTCGTTGGATTCTTCTTGTCGAAACGCTCGATTCAACTATGAATTTTCTAGTCTCGACATTCGTTTGACCATCCAAATGTATCTAAAATCTTCAAAGACTAGTATAATGACCTAATATGGGCTTGATTTGACTCGGATTAGACTAGTTTTTATATAATTAGGTCCGCCTTATAAAGCTGATCTGTTTGATTATAAGTTTACTGAAATCAGAGTACTAGATGATTTTTTATCATGATTTGAACGATTCTTGCTCAAAATACCGTCTTGAGATTCGTGTCATGTCTCGAGATTCGAGCTAAATGATAAAAAATTTATTGGTTTAACAATTTTTAAATAATTAATTAATTTAATGAATAATGAATTATCAATTAGTATAATAAAAAAAGTATCATAATTCTTGTTACAACAAACTTAATAAAATTTTAAATTATCACATAAATTATCAAAATAATTTTACAAAAATTACCTGAATTTATTGAATATGTTGCTAAAAAAGTTTTAAGTCCGGATTCTTTATTTTAACCTTCTGGTGCGGGCGTACACGACTATGCCCTAAAGAATGTTCTGGAGGCATCTCGACAAACGATGAGAGGCGCGAGATGGATGTGGGGAGAATCGGGATCCAGTTGGGTCTATCTGCACCGGCCACAAGGTGAAAAAAGCCCCTTCGCAAGTGCAAGCTTTCCATCTGACGATGAAGAATGCCGAAAAGCTACTAGCCCTTGGGAGGAAGCGTAGATATTCTTCATTGATGCCGCCTGCGGAGGGGGAAAACCCCTCTTGTAGCAATGGCGGTATCAGCAGCAAGAGCTTGGAATCAGTTACTAACATGCTGAACTCTTTCCGATATACTGGAAACCGGCGTATTCAACAGTGCCAGAGCTGTTTTGAATCTGAAATTGCTGCTACTTCTGCCAGTGCCACCCACTCTAAGGCTTTCACGGTCAGACATGGCTCCTGCAATGGCTCAAGGGCGTCCAATGGGAACCTCGAAAAAACAGAGAACAGAAGCGGGCTCCGCCTGTCACCCTACTTCTCTAACATACCTGCAAGAACTTCACTTTGTGCAACCACCAGCTCTCCAATCTTAAATCACGTTGATGAAGATCTACCAGCATCTGTCTCTAAGAAAATGAAGAGGCTGCGGAAGGTGGCAGCACCGCATGATTCAAGTCTAGTTCTATCTCACGATACTCCCTCTCGGAGAACCAAAAAACAAAGGAAGGTGGCATCATTTCCAGCAGCAGATGAAGTTAACCAAGTGTGCAATCCTATTAGATGTAAACGCAGAGCAACAATGACAAAGGCAGAGAAACTCAAGGATTGCTACCGTAGAGTTGGCCCAGGCAATAAGTGGGACCCCCCAGATTCTCCTTATGAACTACTGCAGGAGGTCCATGCCTTTGATCCTTGGAGGGTTCTTGTAATATGCATGCTTTTGAATCAAACAACCGGCGCACAGGTGACATTCTTACAATCTTGTTCTCATGTGTTTTTGTTTTGATAGCTTTGTTGTGAAAAAAAGACGGCAATAAAACAAAAAATAGATCGAGAAAAACACAAAACAGAAAACATAGTGGAACACACAGATTTACGTGGTTCGACAAATTGCCTACGTCCACGGAGCTGCAGACGATTTTATTACTTGAAGAAAATACATCGTCGAGCACCTCGATGTTTACAAGAAAACTCTAATTTTTTTTCTCTCTCCTCCTCTCTCTATCTCTCTCTCTCTCCTTTTTCTCTACTAAAAGAGCTACAGCCAAGGGAATAAAAAATTTCGTAAGCCACCCGTAAGCCACCTAGCAGAGGAAGGA